TTTTTTTTTCAGTACTAGGGATTAAACCCAGGACCTTCACACTGAGCTACAATCTCCAGCCCCTTCTCCACCTTTTATTTTGAGACAGTTTCTTGCCACGTCACTAAATTGTCCGGCCTGGGCTTTAAGTCACGACCTCCTCCTGCCTCAGCTTCCCGGAGTAGTGGAGTCACACATGTGCCCCCATGCTTGGCTCCAGTAACACCTCATAAACCCAGGGAGCCCTGCTTCACGTGACCCGTGGCCCGCTACCTGCCCCCGGAGTGCAGAAGGTCCATTCTGGCGGCTTCTCCTTTGGCCAATCTGAAGTCTCCTGTATACAAGACAGTCCCGTTATTGCCCTGAAACAAAAACCTGGAAAGAAAATAAACCTCAGTGACTTCCAAGTCTCGGATAAGTCCTAAAGAGGCAAATGCTTGCTAAATGAACAGCGAGTACATCTGGCTAAACATACCCCTCGATACAGTGTTAGTGGAATTTTACCAGCTCTAAGTCCATACCCAGCCCTTAACTGCTCCCTTTTCCCTTGGGTAGAAATAGAACGCTGACACTGCTGAGTCTGTACAGGTGCATCCTGTGATACGTGAGCACTCAAAATCACACACTGAGCTCATTTCTGCTTATGGACAGAAAAATTCATGTGACCAGACAGCGCAAAGTCATGAGAAATTGCTACTAAAGACTTTCACTAAAAGGATCTGATCCTCGCCTCAGTCCCCCACATTTAACCTGGAAACAAAAAATTAAAGACATTGCCAGAAAAAGTCAAATATCCCTACACATGTAATTTTTAGCCCCTAAAAATTTATTTCTACAAATATAATACATATGTACATAGAACAGCAAAATAGATGAGCTCCCTTACATAACTGATCCTGGGCAGTGACCAGCTGGTAAGAGAGTCACAACAATGTCTTCCTTCTAAAAAGAAAATAAAGAAAAAACAGTAACAGAAGTTATCATTAGGACCACGTCTTTTCTGCCCATTTCCTCACTCTCCAAATGCTGGAAACAAGGGGTCCCTTATCCACTCTACAACACAGTGGCCACAGGACTCAGCATTTTCAATCTACTTATACACGCGCGAGAACTGAAGACTTAAATTCACATAAAAATTTGTACACAAGTGTTCATAACGTAATTATTCACACCAGCTCCAAAGCGGAAACATCTAAATGTCTTCCAACTGACAAACGGATAAACAGACTGTACACTGATACAGCGGGATGCCTCAGAAAGGAATGAAGTGCCGAGACAGACGACATCTACAACTCCAGCTACCCGTGTGCACCATGGCCCTGGAGAGCTGCGCTCAAGGAGGGGCCAGACACCAAGACCATGGGCTGCAGGGTCCTGTGAAGTGTCTGCAACAGGCAAGGTAAACGGTGACGGCCAGGAGCTGGGGACAGGAGGGGTGAGGGAATGACCCTCCTGGGTTTCTCTTTCAGGGGGCAAAATCATTCTAGCACTGGTTGTGGAGATGGGTGCACAAACTGATGAGTATACGGAAAGCCACTGAGCTGTGTGTTCCAAACGGCATACGGATATCTCACCAATGCCGTTATTATAAAAATGCCTAGGTGCAGCCTGTTCCCAATGCACCATATTACACACCACAGCACCCTTCAGGACAGAGCCCACGAGGTACGGCTGCTCTCTGGCCGTAAGTAATAGAGAGAGAGCTGGGGAACTGTCCCTGCTCAAATATGCGACTCCTCACTTCAGCACAACATCCTTGTCTTCTTCCTAGCCTGTGTGTCAGGGAGGTATTCTCCCACCAAGCCAATATAATCCACTCCAAAGGCCCCTTTCAACAGGTATCTCCTTGGCCAGGGCTGGACAAGTGCACGGAAACAGGTGCACACAAAACCAAGGAAACATGGGGCCTCCAGAGGCTGCCACCAGCAGCCACTTGCTGTCCACTGCCAGCTCCTACAATGTCTTCCTCTGACACACCTGCACACGGCGAGGCTGCTCGCCCTCGGTAGCACACCTAGGAAATGCTCCAGGACGGCACTCACAAAGGCTCACACCACCTTAGTTCTTTTCCTTTCCGTCTTTTCTAGCTCACTCGAAACTGGCTCTGTAGCGAATCTCATCTTCCAAGAAGTATCTGAAAAGTCATCTCCATTCTGATCACGTTCACATGACCCAAGCGTCTTCAGAGTAACACACATCAAAGCAACATGTTACAACCAGATTAGAGAACAAATACTAGCTAGACTTCTCAAAAGACAGCACAATCCTTCTTCGTCCTAGCAGCACTGTAAGGGTTTTTTGTTTTGATTTTCTTGAAACAGAGTTTTGCTATGTATTCCAGGCTGGCCTCGACTCTCCGAGTGCTGCGATTATGGGCACAGGCCACCACACTTCCTATTTCGTGTTGCTTTCTGTCTTAAGAAGGTTGCTCTATTGTCCTATTTACTATTAAAACAATATATTCTAAATTTAAGAATGGAAAGTAAATTGTATATGCTTCAGTGATGTTTACAGACACTGCATTCCTTATTTTCCATAAATTTAATTTATCCCATTCCCCTCCAAACCCCCTTCCCTATGTACAAAATCTGTTTCCAGTTTTCCTTCTAGTTGCACTTTTCTTCTATCCTCCTTCCTTTCTCCTCTCTCCCTTGTTCCCCTTCCATGTGAACACTTTCCTCCCATTTCCAGCATCCATTACACATCTCAGCCCTCATTTCCACTTTCCCGTGCTCACACCAGAGAAACAATGTGGTATTTAAACGTGTGTCTGACTTACTTCACTTAGGAGTACGGTGTCAAGGTCCATCCTCAGCAGTGATTTGTTTATATTTAAAAAAATAATTCAGGATAAAAATTACAATATGCACAAAATGGCTTCAAAAACAGTGAGCACCAGCCGGGCTTGGTGGCACACACCTGCGAACCCAGCACTCAACTCAGAGGCTGAGGCAGGAGGATCAAAGTTCAAGGCCAGCCTGAGCTATGTAGCAAAAGCAAACCCCCAAAGCACCATTTTATATCCTTAGCAGTATAATAAACTGAAATGTGGCAATGGTATCATGTAGTATTATCAGTAACTGCAGCTCCCATCATCAGCATGGAACTCTGAAAAGGAAGAATTCTGACAAAATACACCATTCCAGCCATTTCAGTATGGAAAACGAATACATCACTTACTGGAGCAAATGCACTCCCCCAGGAGGCCCCTGGAGGTGATTAGTTCTTGAAGGTAGAGCCCCAAAGAATGGGATTAGTGCCCTGTAAAGCGGCTTTTCTGCCCTTCCACCATGGGAGGATGCGGGCGAAAAGACAGCCCCCACTGACCAGAAAGCAAGAGATGTGGCAGAGCCTCAGCCTCGGCCTTGAGCATCCAGACCGGGGGAGGCACGGGCTGCTGACCGTCACCCAGGCTACTGTGCTTCTGTAACCGGAACCCAAACGGACTGACTTACTTGATGAAGAGTTACTTAGGGTTAAATCAGCATTCAAGATCAAGGAGAAAAACAAGCACTTATTTTAGCACTGAAAGAACCGCAATATTTAGTACTTAGTACCTCGCCTGATGCTTCATCAACCAAAGGTATCTGGGTGGGAGCCTCGACTTCAAGCGATATCTGTTAAAAAGAGAGAGCACAGATGGGTCGGTTTTCCACAGCCTCTCACACTTGTGCACCTAAGGGGACAGACCAGAGGTACTAAGTGCAAATCACAGACCCTGTGTATAACAATCTGATTCCACCAGAGTTAAGTATTTTCAGTTGGAAAACAGGATAAAGCAACATAATACCTCTGTTAGGGAGGACTTGGCAGTCTGCAGGGAAGGCCAACTCCATCCCCACGAACCCATTTCTCCTTCACCCCCCACTCCCGGCGCTCTCCCTGCCCCTCTGAATCAGAGGCTTTGTGACATCACGCTGTCAGGTGTGCTGCGTGTTGGCTTTGGATCTGAAAGGGGCCCGTTTCACCAGAACAGAGACTGCTACATAAGAGGCTTTCAACAAGCAACTGATGAGTTCTGCATCTTTCACTCTACCAGAGTCAGAAAAATAGTGACTGAGGTGCAGATATCATTTTCTGGCATAAAACATCTTATTTGCGATGCGGTATTTAACACTGTTCCACTCAGCTAAGATACTATCTTAGTTAGGATTTTTCACTGTATTCACATTTGAAATGGCTTTCCCCCATAGATTGAGATGGTCTACTTTGCAACTAAGGCTGAGCAGTTTATCTATTATAACAACTTATATAGCATAAAGATTATTTATTCTCTAACATCTGGTAAAGAGCATACATAAAACCAATGAGGCTTGGAGCTTTTTTTGGAGAAGAGATCTGATAAATGGGTGGGGTTTTTGTTTGTTTTTGAGACAGGGTCACACTATGTGGTTCAGGCTGGCCTTGAACTCACTTATGTAGCCCAGGCTGGCTTTGAACTCGAGGCAATCCTCCTGCCTCAGCCTCCTGAGTGCTGGGATTACAGGTGTGTGCCGCCACACCGAGCTGATAATTGTTTAAATGTCTTCTATGGTTGCCGATTTTATTCAAATATCCCACTTTTCTTGCCTCAACTTGGTATTTTTCTAGATATTTACCTATTTTGTCTAAATAATCAAATATACTAGTATATTAGTTTTCAGGGGGAAATGCTACTGCCTTGTTATTTTCCTTTTTCTCATTCCATATTTTATATATCTTTTCTCAGGTCTGCTTTGTCATTTCTTTTCCATTTATTGCATCAAAGTCTTACTTTCTTCAGGCTTTGTTTCCTAGGAAATCTGTTTAATGCTATCGATTTCCCCCGAGCTACTTGGATACACCCTGTTTCCACTGTCCATCGATTCTAGGCACTACGTTTTCTTCACGGCTTCATCTTTCCCTGGGGTATTTACCATTATTTGACTTCGATGGTATGGAATGATGTTAGCTGCCCTTCTACTTCTGATTCCCCAAATCCGTGCATCACAGTCACAAACATGGAGCACCGGGATTTAAGTGACAGGGTATGTGGCCAGTTTTTGTAAATGCTCTGTGGATTTCCCCAATACTGCTTTTCTGTTGGGTTAAAACCTGTTTTGCTCCACATGGCGGCACACACCTGGGATCCCAGCTATTTGCGAGGCTGGCTGAGGCAGAAGGATCGCAAGTTTGACCCCAACCTTGGTAACTCAGTGAGACCATGTCTCAAAATGAAAAAGCAAAATGGGCCGGGCTGTAGCTGAGCGGTGCAGGACTTGCTAAGCACGTGTGAGGCTCTGGGTTCAATCCCCAGGACTGTAAAACATTAAAAAGCAAAAGCCACATTTTTGTTTTTCCTTGAATCGGTTCATACTATGCCCTCCAAAGTTTTCGCACCTTCATTTACTTTCTGCCTCCTCCGTGTTTAAGTGTCTGAGAGGAGTAGCACAGTAAGCGGTCCAGCAGCAACTGCTGCTCTGCCCTTTCTCCTGGGGTTGTAGAGGCGGCTCATCCTACATCTAAACTGGGGTCCTATTTCCTAAAGTCACCCCTGGAATCCAGAGTGAGGAGAAGCCTCTGTGTCAGCTCATGCCGAGCCGGCTCCAGGGGCTGGTACAGGGCAGGACAGCAAGGCTGCTTCCTGTGCGGCTTCCTTGGCCACCCGCGCGTGACTCACACACATGCCAAGTGGGTGACCATCTCTGCTCTGCCGGTCCCTACCCCTCTGCCTGACTGCAGGATGGCCAGGCCAGCTGCTGAGATTCCCGGGGAGGGAAGCTCACCTCAGGACCTCCTGGGGAGACAGGCGGCATGGCGAAGGGAGCAGTCTGCTGTCGTTATCAACATGCATGTCCGCACATGGACGTGGCTATCTGCCTTTCCGGCTCCTCAAACATCGTTTCTATGTGCTGGGAACCTTCGGACTCCTGCAGCTATTTTGAAATACTTCACAGGCTGTTTCCCTACTGAGACTGGGCGGTTGGTGGTGGTTTTGGTTTTGTTTTTGCAGTGCTTGGATGAACTCCAGGGGCCCCCACACGTGCTCTGCACATGCGCTGGACCACAGAGCTACATGCCAGCCGAGGGGACACCTGCTTTGAGTCTCCTGCTGGTCCCAAGGCAGGGGTGGGGTTTGGGGTTTTTAAACAACTTGCCCAAGTGTGGGGCAGAGGGAAAGGAGGCGAGGCTCACAAGCTGTCCTGAGCCAGACAGCAAGCAGGTTCCGTGACACTGGCGCAGTCTTGTTTGCCAGCCACGGTCACTGACTGCGAAGGCACAGAGGCCCTGACTCCACCCAGTGTCCTCAGGGGTCTACACCACTGCTACCACCCGATGTGGTGGAGGTCGCTCTGTCAACCGCATGGCATCTTCTCCACCTACTGTCCAGGTACCTCCCTAAACCCGGGGCTTGCTTTGGTTTTGGCCTTCACGTCTACTCATATCTGCGATAAAACTGACACGCTGACATACTGGGCTTCTGTTTGGTACATCTTCCCCTCTCCTGTTTATCTGTTTTTTGGGTTTTTTTTTTTTTTTTTCCTGTCTTGTTTTGATTTCAACTTTACTTATCCTGCCAAGTGTGGTGGCGCATGCCTGTAACCGCAGCCCCCGGAAGCTGAGGTGGGAGGGCGGTCACACATCAAGGCCAGCCTGGGCTACACAGCGAGGTCAGGCCCAGAGAGGAAACCCTGTTTCAAAACAAAACAAAAGTGCCGAACTTTCATTTATCCTTTTGTTTATCTACATCTGATGTATACCAGTACTGGTGGATCTTTCTCACATTTTACTTCTGCAGTACTAGGGACTAAACCCAAGGAGTAGTGAGCTATTTTTATTTTGAGACAAGGCCTTCCTAAGTTCCCCAGGCTGAGACTGGGTACAAACTTGTGATTCCCCTGCACGGCCTCCCAAGTAGTTATTTTCTTTTTTAACATAAACTGGAAATTTATCCTTTGGTCAAGAGTGGAATTAAATCCACTCATAATAAGGGCTTTTCTGCAAGTCTGCATTTCCTGTGTACTAGATTTCTGTTTGATGTCCTCCCTGTGCTACCTTACACTGGAAAGATCTATTTTACTCTGTCCAACTGAGTTACTCATTATGTTTTAATTATTCTGCTCTTTCTCCCTTCTTATCATCCACGTTACATTTACTCTTCCTGGTTCTGCCCAGGATCTAACTAGAAGGACAGCAATGACACTGGCACACATTCCTACTTTAAAGCATCAGAATGTATCTCAGCTAGAGTCGGCAGGATTAAACGAACAGAACTAAAGACCTACTACCAACCAAACACAGACCTCTCCTAAAGGGCAGAATTGTAAAAGACTAAATGTCCCTTGTTCTAATGATGACATGTGTAACTCTGGTGTGTGAGGGACTGGTCTTGGAACACTTCCAATGTTTTTTCTATCTTCTTCTAAAAATATTTTCCAGCTGGGCCTGGTGGTGCACACCTGTAATCCCAGCACTCGGGAGGCTGAGGCAGGAGGATCGCTGTGAGTCTGAGGCTAGCCTGGGGTACATAGTGAGTTCAGGGCCAGCCTGAACTATAAAGGGAGACCTTGCCTTAAAAAACCTAAATAAATAAATAAATAAATAAAATTTCCACCTATACAAAGAATTAGTTTTTCAAAATTACAACTTACAATTCGTTTCTCCCAAAATCTGTATTTCGGGCTAGTTAACAACAACTCCTTAGTAACAGGAGAACAGTATAGGTGGACCTTCAAGCTGAAAGGAAAAGACAACAAACAAGTTTCAGTATAACCCAAGATGAACTGTCTTGGTGACAAAGAAATGCATTGTATCAAACACCAGTTTTCTCCAATGACTCAGAAATTGTTGGCACAAAATGTCTGAGAGCTGCTTCCAGATACTGATTGACACTATTTCAGTCCCTTCCAGAACATAAGGGGCTGTTGCTGTGTCTTCAGACCCGCTAAGAAATCCCTTGACCACTCTTATGATAAAAACATGCACTTGTGGGGGCACAGCTCAGTGGTAAAGTGCTTGCCTCTCGTGAGGCCCCGGGACGCATCCCCAGCATGAGCGCGCACGCACACACGTGCACACACACACGCGCACACACAGTGTATGTGACCAGGTATTCCCGGAAAGAGGCCAAGTGTTAAGCTACTAATGAACAACAGGGAAAGGAGTGTTTGCAACAGAAACTTCTGCTTTATACTTTCTGGGAATCCACTGTATTTATCTTCTTTTTTTTTTTGCAGTACTGGAATCGAACCCAGGGCCTTGCATATGCTAAGGAAGTGCTCTATCACTGAGCTACACCCTTACCTCATACACACACACACACACACAAATATATATGTTTTAGTGATCAAAAATTAATTTCACAATAAATATAAAATTCAGTAGTACAGTTTTATAGGTCAGGAATACAGTCCGTGACAGATTATCCTTCAGAAGCTGGCCACACCGCTATATACTCCAGCTACTCAGTCTTCACAGAGCAGCATCTCAGTTCTTCCACGGAGAAGAGGGGTCCGGGCTACTCAGCTTGCACCCAGGCAGATCTCTGTAGCATCCTCCATCACAGAACATGTGGGAGTAACTCCAGGACTTACTGAGCTTACCCTCTCTCGGGACTAACACTCGTTAACCCTCAGTCACTTAAATATCACATAGTTTCTCTTATAGAGAAACTCAAATTATTTAAAAAAAAAAAAAAAAAGGGCAAAAGCTGGGTGTGGTGGCATACACCTGTAATCCCAGCACTTGGGAGGCTGAGGCAGGAGGATCACTGTGAGTTCAAGACCAGCCTGGACTACGTAGTGAGACCCTGTCTCAAAAACAACCAAATAAATAAATACAATTTTAAAAGGGGGAAAAAAAAAGGAAGTAGAGAAACCTTTCTTAAATGGGAAAGGGACCAAGAGATGAAGGGATGGTAAAAGGAGTTAAGATGTGTTATGTCCATGTCCCGACTCCACACAAGGACTGTAAACATTATGTGCTGCATAATACGGGCTAATAAATAAAAACGAAGTCCAGCCCTCTCAAACCTCTACTCCTAAGAGACTTTCCAGACCAGACTTGCCCAAAGAGCGCCAGCTGTCCTAGCCCAGGTAGGTGTCGATACTGACTCTTCAGATAATTTCAGTCCCCGGACACTAGGCAGGTGGACTCTGTCACAGCCCTGGTACACAGACACTGGGGCTTATGTTTCCATTCTAAGGTGTTGGAGATGATTCGTTATGCAGCAACAGACAGCTGATACACAGGCTTTGCAGTCAGACTGATCTGGCCGAAATCCTGGTCCTGTCATTTATGGACTGTAAGACATTGTGCAAATAATTTAACCTCTCTGGCTCCTCGGCTTCCTCATCTGTAAAACAGAAATAATAGTATCTATTCAAATTTATGGAGAGGCTCTAATGAGAAAGGTTCGAAAGAGCAGAGACTTTCACCTGCCACCCTGATGTACCCTTAGCTTCCATGGACGGCCATCACAGGCACTCAAAAAGTGTTTTCACAAAGAAATCCACAGTGCCTGTGATCAGGAAAAAAGCGTAACAGTCTGTTGGTAAAGCCCCTCTGCCACGTTTTTGCCATAAGATGCTCTGTTTAAGCAGTGTAACTGCTTGAGCTGCATGATGTTCCCACCTGATAGTTCAAGAACGTTGTCTTAACTCCACCCCTCCATGTCTATGAGCTCACTCATAAATGGGCCCAGCCCCTACTCGGAAGATCTCTGTATAAGGCTGTTTCCATTCCTGTTCGAGGCTCAGACTTCACAGTACAAACTCCTCAGGGCCGGGGATTTAGATCAGTGGTTCCAGCACCTGCCTCTCAAGTGCAGTGTCCCAAGTTCAATCCCCAGTACCAAAAAATAAAAACAAAAACAGAGTATGAACTCCTCTGAACCCACCAACATAATAAAGTTTGAATCCCTCCATCTCTCTGAGTGCCACCCTGGGTTTTTTCATTGCCAGCGACCTTGGCTGTAACACTGAGCTCGCTCGCTTCACTGTAACACCTTGAAGATGGTAAGGATGCCGTGCACACTCGTTATCATTATCTGCTATTGATTAGCCAAGAAGCCCAATAGCTTCTGGTTCAAAAATCACAAGGGCCCTTTCCAAATGAATATCCAGACAATTCGGGATTTAGTAGGCAATGGCTGAAGTAAAAGAACCCAAGAGTTCAGTTTTAAGAAAAGACACAATGGTCCCACTGGATTCTTGATAATGAGACAACTACTCACACTCACACTGACAAGGAATGAAAACACACAAGTTGTTGTCACAGCCAATATCATGGATAAATCCCATAAATATAATGTTGAGTGAAAGCAAATATAAGAGAGCCTATTTGGACTGATTCTACTCATTGAAGTTCACAGACAGAGCTGCCTCATGATGGCCACAGTCAGAACAGGTCACCCCTGGGAGGAGGCAGAGAGTCTGGGATAATCGTCCTGTTCAATGTCTTGAGCTACCCACAAGGTTCTCTCTGTGCATATTCATCAGACAGTCCACCTTACTATGGTAAGTGTGCATTTTTCTGTCTTGTCACTCTCTCAATTTAAATGTTTACTTCAGCACACAGATCCACACAGTAAAATAAATTACCTGCACTCCAACCTTCTTTTCAAAGTCGGTGCCCTTAATCCTTTCATGTGATCTAAAGACAAAAGAATTGAAAATCATAAATACATGCTTTATTCAGAAAATTCCTTAGCCCAAAGAAACTGAGCTGTCTCTTAAGTCCCTGTTAGGAGGAAATACTTCTCCTAAAGTCACTTCCCAGAGGACTGATTCACAAGGCTTCAAGCTCCTCCTGTAATCAGGGCTCTTCTGAGAACAGGGAAGGAATCACTAAAAGTTGCCTGGTCCTGAGCCATCAAAAGAAATTCACAACCAGGTGTGGTGGCGCACGCCTGTAATCCCAGCATTCAGGAGGCTGAGGCAGGAGGATCGCGGTGAGTTCAAGACCAGCCTGGGCTACATAGTGAGTTCCAGGTCAGTCTCAACTACATAGTGAGACCCTGTCTCAGAAAAACAAACAACAAAAAGAAACTCACAGAATGGGCTTGTGGCATTGAAGGGCAGAGTCTGAACTGCTCTGTGCAGTCACAGAAGGGAGACAGCTGCTCCCAGCCCTTCCGTCCTCTCTGCTTGCAGCTTCAGATGGCATTACAGGACACACGTGTGCACACGCCTTTGCTCGCTCAGTTTACAACTGAGGACTTTTGTGGAGATGGGGTGGAGTCGTGCAGATTGAACCCAGGTCTTCACACTCAGCTAAATCCCCAGCCTTTTGAAATTTTGAAAAAGGTCTCACCAAGTCATCAAATTGCTCTGGTTAGGCTCAAAGTTTCAATCCTGCCTCAGCTTCCCAGAGCACTGGGATTACAGGCGTGTGCCAGCACCCTCAGCTTATAACTGGGAGTCGTTAAACAAGAAAGAACTCAAGGCAGTTACCATACCTCACCTGGCAGCTCCTGTCCCCTTCCCCGCCCCAAGACAGGCTGCAGCCTTCTGGTCATACCTGGTCCAGACTTGAGGGCCTAAGGGAATGTTCCAGGGCAGGTGTTTCTAAAGAGTTTTCACCAGGGCAAAAGGAAGCTGCAGGACTCCGCTCACACCCCAGGCTAACTCAGCAGGTCATACCCTCTACCTGTTGCACGTGACCCCCACCCTCTGCACTGAGTCCCTTCCCAGCCAGTGGTCACAGAATGTGGCTGATCAACTGCACCTGGAGCCTGCTTTCCAGAGAGCTTTCCTGTGGACTGGAGGAAATCATCTTCCACTGTCCCGCAAAGGGTCTTTCCCAGAGAGAGGCTCCTGTCTCCAGCCAAAGCTGCCCTCTCACCTCTGCACTAGATGCTCAGCAACGCCTTCTCCAAGCGCAGCGTCAGGCTCCAGGCAGCCCACAGCTGTGTCCAAATGTGATGCTGACTGTTTACATCCCTTCCTCTCTAGCACAAGAGTCCTTAGACCGTCAGATATTCTGCATTAGTCAACTCAGGCTGCTGTAGCAAAATAACTTAAGCTAGATAACTGAGAACACGGAGATCATCTCCCACAGCTTGGGAGCTGGGAAGGCGAAGATCAAGGCCCAGGTGAGACCTCTTTTCCTGGAGCTGCTCCCACAGGGCACTGGTGGACAGCTGAGCCCTTTCTCTTATGAGCTTCAGCCATCTCCTGAAAGCCCCACCTCCAAATACAGTCACACGGGGAATGGGATCTAAACACATCTGGGGACTGCTCACAGCACAAAGAACTCTTAGGTCCACAAAAAGCCCAAATCACTACTGAGCAATGTGAGACCTCCAAACGCAGAAGGTGCACTCTTGCCCTTGTTGAATGACATCCTGGCTGAATAAAGTCATGATTGGAAAACAAGAAAAGTTCTTACACAATGCTCCTCAGTAGAGTCAGTTTCTTGTTTAATGTACAAACATACACTGAGCTCACAAATTCCTTTAATTACTTCTCCAGACTCACTAACCCTAAACATGAAGGGCAAGCTCCCAAACTACACTTTAATCATTGTTAAATAAGTTTTATAGGAGACTACTGATTCACTAAGTGACAAAACAAACAAACAAACAAACACAGAACAATATGAAATTTAATCACTGTAAACTGGGCCTACTGGCCCACGCCTACAATCCCAGCACTTGGGAGGCTGAGGCAGGAAAACTGCTGTGGGTTCAAAGGCAGCCTGACCTACACAGCAAGACCCTGCCTCAAGAAAAAAGTTTCATCACAGTAACAGGGCTCTGTTGAATGCAGAAAGCCTGTAATCAACTAATTAGGCTGGAACTCACTGACTGCGTTACCAACTAAGCTATAACCAAGCGAGCTGTTTTCAGCTGTTTTCTACGTGTCACCTCTGCTTTTCTATACATACTGTCAGATCATATTGTTACTTGAGTTCTCAGAACCTGCTGTTTCTAGAAGCTGCCCAATTCATAATCTGTATTTTGTTTTTCTTTGCTCAAATTCTACTGTTTGACTGGTATAAGGAATGTTCCTTTTAACAGCTATTACATTTCAAATGTAGATACTCATCACAAAAAAGTAAAAACAGGGGCACCCTCACCCAGAAGTGGCTTTCAAATAAAAACAAAACAAAACAAAAAAATGTTATTTTCAAGTATAAACAGAGCAGCCAAGTATGATGGCACATGACTGTAATCACAGCACCCAGGAGGCTGAAGCAGGAGGACCACAGCAAGTTTGAAGCTAGCCTGGGCTACACAATGAGACTCTCTAAAAAAACCAATAAACAAACAAACAAAGAAGGGCATGGCAGCACCTGCCTGTAATCCCAGCACTTGGGAAGCTGAGGCAGAAGGGTCACCACGAGTTTTCGGCTAGCTTGGGCTACATACTGATTCAAGGCCAGTCTAGACTACAAAGCCAGACTTTATCTTGAAAAAAAAAAAAAAAAGAATAAACAGACTCTCCAAGAGGTTCAAAGTGCTATCTGGCTGATATAAAGGAACGATATAGGTTTTCTACCCTAGTGAAAACTTAAAAAAAAAAAAAAGGCATTTCCCAGAAGCAGCAGCATTAACAATCTACGCAAGTTTAAAGCGATTCTCATGTGTAAAACAACAGCTGATTCTCAAGCCAACCTTGTGAGGACAAGCAGTATTGTGGTAACCATAGTTTACTTAAAATACTCCTGACCGCGGGTTTGTTACCTCCCCAGGGGCTTGCGGACACCCTATCCCAGCTATTCTGGAGGCCACACTGGAAGGGGGTTGCTGGAGCGCTGCGATTTACCTCTGCCCCACGCCTACTGTGGTACTGATTTGCACAATGAATTATAAAACTGTTTCGTTGGTAAAGTTGGTGAGTTACTAGGGTAATCGATTTCAAAAATAGGCAATGGCTGTGAAATTAAGTGTTATTCAAGCTCTGAGAATCTGCTGCTTCCTGGACGGGAGCACCTAGCCCCAAACCAGTCTCACTAGGATGACAATCCGCAGGGCCTCCGTGCATGTATTCTGGTTGCCTGGCGCCATCTACAAAGTACATCTTCTTCCCGTCATCCTAGAGCAGACGGAAGACCTAAGAGGGGAGGGGGCCAACTCAGTCAAGTTCCCAGGCGGAGTCTGACGCGAAAGAGCGCGCGCGCGCTTTCCAACTGAAGTTTGAGGTTGATCTGAAACCTGTTTGCTTTACACAAGGTAAGGAGAACAGAGCAGATCCGGGGAAGATCTAACTCTCACCAGCCTCCGACCGTCCTCCACCGGGAAAGCACCGCGAAGCCTAGGCGCAGGACCTGGTTACGCCGCGGGGCTGCGTAGGCCTGGACGCGGCCGCGGGTCCGCTGGCCCCTCGGCCGGCGTGGCGAACCGGGACGGGCTCACTCACCCTTGTGGCAGTGCGACAGGAAGTAGGCGCGGGCCCTTAAGTTCTCCCTGTCGAAACGATCGATGGAGATGGTTGGATACTCGGCCATCTGTCCCTGGAAGGAGCTCATTGCGCGCTGTGGGCTCGACCCCCAGCCAGCAGTTTAAGCCCTGCAGGATCGCCTCCACTTCCGGGAACTTACACGCCGCCTCTCCATTGGCCGGCCGAGCGGAGCCACGTCCAATCAGAGAAAGCTGCGGTCAGGGGCGGTGCCAAGAAGCCCAGGACCCGGGGCAGCTCGCCGGAGCAGCGGGCGGGGTCTGCGACCCTGGAGTCTGGTTTCTGCCCCAGAGGGGATAGGGGTGGGAGGACTTGTGCCCTAAGTCAGCCTGCGGTCCGCTTCTCCACCCTGGAACCCGTCTCTCCTGTCCCTTCTCCCAGTTCCTGTTTCCTGAGATACTCAGGCTCGTGTAAGGAAATCGCCTCGGACTCGAGGTGAACTCGAGCTGGAAATTCTCTTCCCCGTATGTACAAAGTCTGCAAACTGATGAGTGAACTCTGATGATTGAACTCAGATGCATGCTTTTAGGGCAAAAAATAAAGATCCCAACCGTGTCTTATCTGCCAGCCACCCCGCCTCCGCTGGGTTGTACTTTTAGGAAGTTAGGAGGACCTGCAAAGAAAAAAACCTGGGTGATGGGAAAAGGAAGGCCCCAAACCTGTAAGGACCTGAGGTTCCAGGAAAGCATAACCTGGCAGACGCCTCTCCCCACCCCGCCGCCACTAGAGCAGTCACCCCACGATGGAAACCAAGGCAACCGCCTGCCCAGCAAGAACAGCCTCATCGTGGGAACCGTCTGTCCCTGGAGCCTAAGAATCCCTAGCCAGAACCAAAGTTGCTCCGCCAGACCCTGGCCCACTTTATAGTTCAATTCAGGCTGGCCGCCTTATGTAACCCATGCTGGCCTTGAACTCACAGTGATTCTCCTGCCTCAGTCTCCTGATCGCTTCGTTTACAGGCATGCACCACCACACCCAGTTAGCCTACGGATTTCAAAGACTAAAAGAAAGCAAAATATCATTTTAAGATGTAGCCACATTGCACTAAGACCTTAACTCAGGAGCATTCCCAGGGCCAATGTAATTTAGTATCCATCTGATGAGCACAGGTACCAAACAGACACTGGGAAAGTTTCACGAGACCTTCCACAAATGGTTTAGGAGACAGTCTTTCCTTAGCTTATTGACCTTTGAAAGGACGAGTGAGAATTGAATAGGCCCACAAAGGCAGAATATTCTAACAAAATTGGGGGAATAACATTTAAACTTTCATTCAGTGCAACTGGCCTCTTGGCTCTCACTGCCCTTTCTCATAGGGGTGTACTTTCACCATAAACTGTTACACTTTGCAAGAAATTCTGCCTTTCTTTCACAACACTCTGTATCTTGACTGAATGCTTTCATCAAGAGTGCAAAGACATGCTTGCCTGGCAAGTGCAAGGTCCCGAGTTCGATCCCAGTACGAAAACAGGATGCAAAGACTGCCGCCAGGCGTGATGACACACACCTGTAATCCCAGCACTCTGAGAGCTGAGGCAGGAAGATTGCCTTGGGTTCAAGGCCAGCCTAGACTACATACAGAGATCCGGTCTCAAAAAAAAAAGAAAGAAAGAAAGAAAGAAAAAGACCAAAGCCCTCCCTCTGCCAGCCCTGCAACAATTCTGCTTCCCTCTGTGGCATCAGAGGGTCCGCAGTGGCAGCAGGTGATGATGAAGCACGTTTATTCAATACCTGAAGCTTTAGCACCTGCTGTGTGTCAGGCTGTTAGGCCAGTGTGTCTAGAAAAGGTGATTCCAGGGTTACCCAAGAAAGGAGGGGATGGTGTGCACATCTTCCAGGGCTTTGCTGGCCTTGTAAATCTGTAGTTTTACCCTGGATAAACTGCAGAGCCAGTGCAGGGCTGTAAACCAAAGATTGGCCTAATCTGACCCGGGTTTCAGGTGGGTCCCGCCATGTGTGGAGAACTGACTGAGAGCCTCAGGGAGGGAGACCTGCTGGCTTCCACTACTGCAAGCAGCGGGGGCTGCAGGCGCCTGGGCTTGGGTGAGAGCTGCACAGCCGGCTTCACTGGCGTGAGAGTAAGGAAGACAAGACAGAGAGGACTGTAGGTGTGTTCTGCTGAAGCTTCCAGGTGTGGAAGGATGAGCTCCTTTTGTTGTTCGGTGGAGGAGAGGCTTGGGGAGGTTGTTTTGGACAGCGAAACTGATGTTAAATATATATTCCATATGCAAGTCTAAAGTTCAGAGAAAGATCAGGATGAAGGAATAAATGTGAGTTGTAAATAAACAGACTTTTTGTTTTTTGTAAGTGCTTGTTGCATTTATATAATTTAGCTTTTAATAATGTAACATGTTGAACAATCAGCTCATATAATTCCTGAACTCTTAACTACTGGTTCACGCGAGCCGGCTCCAGCTCACCACTGTCTTTTCTCTTCCCCTCTCCAACTCACTGCGTTCAAAATGTGTACCTTGAATTGGATCGTTTTTATCTCAAATGGATGGTACTTAAATATAATAATGGTGAAGACAATATTAGAAAGATAATTAGAGCTGTAGATATAATTAATTCCCAAGAACTGAAACGAGATATCTAACAGTTCCAGAAACCCCAGCGGTCTCCCATCTTTTCCATTTTCTTAGGGAATTCAGTGTGGGGTTTCAGAAGAGGCAAACAGCACCTTTTATTCTCCACCTGAGCTCAGACAAGCGCGCTATGGAAGCTCGTCTTTTCATTTTGCTTGAACTTTGCTAACCACCCCCGTCGCCGCGCCCACTTGCCGCGCTTGCGTCTGAGGCCCACCCGTGTGGGGCGGAGCTTGAGGGGAGCAGGGCGGGGCCTATCGTGCCACGCCCCACGCGCTGCGTTGCTAGGAGACGCAAGGGTTCGAAAGAGATCGCAGCAGTTGGTCTCCGCGGACCCAGCCGCACATCCCAAGCCGAGACCTCGAGCAGCAGCGCCCAGCCTGCGATTTCTGCCCAGGACCCGGCTCTCGCCGAGCGAGGGTAACGGGAGCGCAGGGTGGGAGGTGCTCTTCCCTTCCTGGAGACCTTCCGGCTGCCCTGAGGTCCCCTGCCTTCCCTCCCTCAGCAGCCTGCTTCGGTTTAGAGGCCGTGGCTGTGAGGCCCAGGACTTCGGTCCTCATGCGAAGAGTCCTTTCTCCACCTCAGCTCCTTCGAGGCCGCCCATACCTCAGTCACCCCCGGTGATTTCTGATCCGAAGCACACCAGCTGTGGGCCCGGAAGGAGCTGCAGTCCAGAAAGGCAGGGTGCGACCACGGAGGCTTTGGGAGCCTCTTCTGACTTTCAGCTGAACGACCAGCTGCACTGGGACTTGGAACGGGGAGTGTGAGCAATGCAGAGACGATTGTCTAAGGTTTCATTTTTCAGTCCAGAAAACCGGGGCCCCGGAAGTCTTGGCCGAGGTTGTATGCTTGTTAAATCCTGCCACCTATGAAAACCCTGGATCCGGGGGTCCCAACAGACCAGGCTCACCCACAAAAGGAACATTGATCAGCATGGCCGAGCTGTACTTCAGGGCTAGCAGGAGGCTTGCAGGGCCAGCAGGGTGATCCAGGGGCTGGGTGCCTAGGGGCAGGTTCTGCCCGTTGCTCGGAGAAGTGCTTGCGGTTCCTGAGAGATGGTTGCTTCTGCTTGCAGTGGGATGAGGAAGGTGACAGGCTCTGGAATCCGAGGTGGTGCAGGTTTACAGCAATGACTGAAGCTTTCCAAGTGCTGTTGCAAGGGGTCTGGCAAAGGACGTTGGAAAACACAACTGAATGTTCCTGCAAGTCCTGAACATGTCTTGCTCTTGTCTTGTAGTCGTCAGTCTTGAAGGGCAGTGAGATGGGTTCTATAAATTTGGGGTTAATAAACGTCGTACTCACTCCTTAAGCGACTAACACAGCTAAGTGATTTGGGCTCAAAGTTCTAAGACAATAAGGAAGACATAAAATGAAGCCAGAGATATCAAGGTTTATCTTGCTTTCAATTACCTGTTGAGCCCATGGGCCCAGCCTCTAATTCCCTTTTATAGAAATAATGAAATGGGGAAGGACCTGCAAGATCAGGGAGGGTGATGATCTAAGAATTTAATACCACTAACAGTCCTTAGTCCAGGAGAGGAGATGAGTGTGAGGTAGCCAGCTGGCTTGATCAATCATCCACTGATAAATTGAAAGTTTAGATGGTCAGATACTCATGATTCATTTTTTCAGTATCCATATAAACTGTAATAGTGTTTAATAAAATCCATTTTCCACAAACTAGTATCTTCAGGATAAGAACCATGTGACTCAGATGACTCGATTTAGATGGTGTCTGGAGCTCTGGAGCCATATCAAAATAACTGTGGGAATTATTATTATTTTTGAGACAGGGTCTCCCTGTGAAGTTCAGGCTGACCTCAAACTCTTGATAAGCCTCCTGCCTCAATCTCCAGAGTGCTGGGATTATAGGTGTGTGCCACCACAACTAACTTGTTTTTGTTTTATGATACCAGTGATCAAACTCAGGTCCTTGAGTTTGCAAGGCAGGTGGCATAACCACCGAGCTAAATCCCTGGCCCACACCTAGCTAATTGTAGGAACTATAATTTCAGAGTAGAACATGAATGCCATACTCTTTGGAACGTTAAATAAATAATGTAACAAAAATCTAGAGAAAAGAAGAGAGAAATTTAATCTTTTTCATAGAAAAGAGACTACCAGTACTTGTGTATGATTGATTCATGCAGTTAAAGGAAACAACTCTTAATCTAGTAGCCTTCATTGTCTTTTTATTAACCATGGAGGCTCTTTTAGGTGCACTGTTCAAAATCAAGATATATTCACTCAAAATTCAGATCTGTTGCCTTTTCCATGTCCTGTCTTTTCTGCCATTAAATCCAGGTAAAACTAAATTTACCGCTCCTGTAAAAGCATTTATTGTAGAACTTTTTTTGATAAAACTTCTCAAGTTTGTCAATTTTTCATAAATTTGGGGCAGTGTCCACCTAATATCAAGGTTGTATATGTGATGATTATTTTAGTTTTTTTGTATTTTAATGTATTTCTTGACCTTTTGAATGTAATGAGCATTTGTTATCACGAAGGAAAGATTTTATTTATTTGTTCGTTTATTTATTTATTTATTTTTGGTACCAGGGGTGGAACACAGGCAGCACGACTGAGCTAAATCCCCGGATGATGGAAAGATTGTAAAACGATTAATGAATAGGAAGTCTGACTTTAAAATGTTTCAGCCAATTAAAAGATGTTTTAATAGAAAAGAGATTCAAGGAACTATGGTGAAAACACCAGTCACTTTATTTCAGCTAAATGATGTTTGGTAATAAAATAAGAAGTAGGGGTGGGGGATTTAGCTCTGGTTCCACCACCTGCCTTGCAAGTGCCAGTACCCAAGTTCTATCCCCGGTAGCAATAAATACATACATACATACATACATACACATATACATACATGAGAAGTAGCTGAGCAAAACAAGTATTAAATTATATCTTTGAGAAATAGGCTGTAGAGGTGTAGGGCTGAGGTGTTTGGCAGATGTGAGGTCCTGTGTTTGATCACCAACACTGAAAACGCAAGCAAACAAAACAACTGGCAATAGAGGTTTGGTCAGTGGGTTTGTAAGGTGAGCACAGGGCCAGGCAGTTGCTATACAGCTAAGCTACACCTAAACCCAGAGGTTGGTGAATGGACAGGTACGTACACTGGAGTGGGATATTGGAATTTCTGAGACCATTAGTGGCCTGCACTGTCCCGTAATCAGTGCCCTTGGTGTCATGACAGCCACACAGCTTGCAAGGAGGCCTCTTCTCACATTGGTCTATTGCAGGGTCGGGGGCCACAGTGACCTGGACACGTGGAGAGCAGTGTCTGGGATGTCTCCAAGCAGCTAAGAAGTGGAAACCATTGCTTTCCAGCAAGAAACAAGAGAGTGAGAAGACTGATTTTACATTTTATTTTTAAGGAAAAAGAGTCAGTTCTAAGTACAGTTACATGAAATACTGCTGACATATTGTGGCACAAGTTATAAATAAGAGTATGTTCTCAGACATGTGCCAACTATTGCCTGGAAGAACAGAACTGGGATATAGCTTTTAGATTAATACCCATAATTACAAATACTATCTTACTTGATGTGTTTCTATCAGGGTCTTGCGGGGAAGGGGGTTGCTTTCTAAAACAGACCAAGAATCCTTCAAAAATTTTTAATTGAATGTTTAAAATTTAATACATTCACTTACTTCACTGGGATTCTTAACTCTATATAATTTTATGTTAATTTTGTTCATTCAAAAGGAACTTTGAAAATTGTCACTAAGTTATCTGTTAATGTTATTTTTAAATCTTTCAGAAATAATTGGTAATTAAGCCTCTGTAGCCATGGCTAGTTCTGATGTGAAACCCAAATCAATAAGTTGTGCCAAAAAATGGTCAGAAGAGATAGAAAATCTGTACAGATTTCAGCAAGCAGGATATCGGGATGAAAGTGAATATAAGCAAGTGAAGCAAGTGTCCATGGTAAGATCTATACCTCTACACACTTCCACAACAGTGAGCTTGTTAGATGGTTAGAAAGCATTTTTAAAGACAAGAAACCAAAACATAACTGAAGAAAATTGTACTACAACTCATTTTATAGAGGAAGAGACAAGGGCCCAGAAAGATGCTTTGTCGGGCAGACTGGGGAAACGAGCAGCCCCTCAGTGAGGTAATTCCAAATTTCTGCTTAGCAATTGTGTTCTGCTAAATGAGTCTTTCATAGTACGTAGACCTTAAAAGCAGCCTTTCTCTTGCACTCAGGAAACCCTGTTATCATATCTCAGTTTTTTGAATAACTGCTACTTCCCTCCTGTTTGTTTATTTTGAACATAAATTAGAAAGGGGGTAACTTACATTTTCAATAGAGACGATGCATGGCAAAAATAGTTAAAGAACAACTCCTGCTGTGTGTGAGGCTGATTGCTGCAAGTTGGAGGCCAGCCTGACTATACAGTGAGACCCTGTCTCAAACACAAATAAAAAGGAGAAACACTATAACTAAAATGTAAGAGGCTCTTAAATTTAATAGACATTAATTTAACAGACATTATTTAGTTGGTGAGAAATAAGAGTTTAAAATGCCGATCAAATGAAGGTTGATTACTGTGACTTTTATACATCTGTCTTCTCATATCTACTACATTTTATGCTGATCTCATTACCAAAAGACAGTTTTCATGTCTGTACCATCAATGGCTTTGGAGAAGAGAAAACAAAAGCATCGTCACTTCAGTGCTATTCAAAAATAAGCTTTGTGCCTTGGGATCCAGATGCCACAGCTCAGTGGTGGAACACTTGCTTTTTGAGTGCAGTGCCCTGGGTTTGACCCCCAACACTGAAAAAATTAGAGTAAGAGAGGATTGGAATACCCCTAAAGACACAAGAGATGCAGGGTCCTTTAGGGAGTGTAAAACACACACCACTCCTGCAGCTACACCCCAATGCCCATAATATTAGTGGGGTGAAATCAGATGTAAGAGAACACAAAGGAAGTTCAAGAAGCAAATGCTTTGTGTTTAATTCAGTCTGTATTTTTTCAGTAAATGCCACTTGCAGATTTCTGTACCAAGTGTGCTAGGAGACACAAACATAGGTAAAATATTGCCTGAGACCAAGAAACCCCAGGAGCCAGCTGGAGTGCACAGGTTTGAAGGGAATCCCTCCAGGGTTTGCATCTTCTATCCAGGTGACCCTGGACACAGTTCTCAAGGTCACCCAACCTCTGTTTCCTCTGTCGTATGGTGTCTGCCTGAGAAAACTGACAAGAGTGCAGTGAAATCCATGTCTAAAGCGCCCGACCTTGTACTGCTCCTCAGAATTTGCTGAGTGAATGAACAGTAAATGTTTAATGAATGATTTACTGGCAGCAGTGAATGACAGCTTTTATTATTCTCCTTTTTTTGGAGTAGAAAATAGGTAATAACAGGAACAATAAAATCATATTCAAGTCAAAGTATGTGTAGCTTCAGAAAAAGCAGCCCAGGGATTTAAAGAAAGGAAAAATGCCTTCCTTGTGGGGATGACCTTCAGAAAAGGCTGCGAACCACCAGCGGCATTTGCAGAGGACGTCAGAGGACAGAGAGGGTGGCAACTGAAGACTTATCTTGAGTGGGACATTCCCACCCGTGTGCAGTGGCTAGGGTTCGAGTGGAGCCCTGTGCTCCCCTGAAGCATGGGTGCTGGCTTCCCTGTACGAGCAAGAGGTGATGGCTCAAGGGTCGCCATTCTGTCACAGGAAGCCAGGCCCAGGTCATCCTTCTCATGGGAAGGAAGAAAGTCTGAGCCAAGCAAAAGAGAAATCAAGATGACAAAGACGAATATGTACAGGCCGTTGAGCAGAGGCTGCACTACCTGTGTGGGGAGGTTCTCCCGTCAGGTGTCTCTGAGCGCTCTTAGGGGGCGTTGGGCGCTATTTGTTCAGGACCCCGGCCAGGAACAAGGGGCCATGGTGGCATCTACAAAGGCAGGACAGAGAGGTTGCTGTTTCCTGTAGTTAAATGTCACAGGGCCTGCCAGGGCGCATCAGATAGGCAGCTATTTTTGCTAATTCATAAATAAGACAACAGAAAAAAATACGTGTTATAGAAAATAAAAGACCCGACCTAAATGGTGTCTTCAGCATATCTTCCAGTTGAAAGCTCTGTGTTTCTAAGCAGGGGATACGAAAGGGAAGGGCTGCTTGTCCTGAGGATGCCGAAGAGCAAGCTTTGATTTTTCTAAAATCTGAGCAATGAGTTTTTGAGAATGAGAAAGTACCGCTTACAAAATCCAGAATGCACATATTAAACAATAAAAACACGTCAACCTGATCAGGAAGGCATAACATTGAATTTTGAGAGAAAATGGAGAAAAATGTTCAAAGTGGATCAGTCAGCAAACCAATTCAGCACCCACGAGAGAACAGTGAAGAAAAGAACAGATCGCCGGGGATCAGGACTGCAGCTTGCTACCGTGGATTGGGCCTCGGGTGAGGCGTGATGCTGTATACCTGTGATCGCAGTTACTGGGGAGGTTTAAGCAAGACCTTGTTTCAAAATAAAAAGCAAAAAAGTTAGTGATGTATCTTAGGGGGGTACAGGAGGTATAGCGAGCAAGGTAAGATGCACAGAACCTGGGTTCAGTCCCCACCACCAAAAAAATAAAGGACTTCAGGGTGAATTTGAAGTTTAAACATACCTATTACCTTTCCACCTCTAGCAATTTTGATTTCTTTTTTATTTTCTTTTTCTTTTGGTTCTTTGAGACAGGTCTTCTGCAAGCTAGGATGATAACAGGTGTGGCCACCATGCCAAGCCAAACGATTTCAAGCGTACTCATTCCCTTAGTTCCTGCATGACATCCAAGCAGGCAGTCCCAGTTTTCTCCCAGTGTATTACTTTCAGGAATTATGTTTGAAAGCATAAGAACGATGAAGTTTAGATTACTTAAAATGTTTCCATGATCTTGGAGACAATGTAGCATCTAAATCTAGAAAGTGGGCTGTTGAGAGAAAAAAGCTAAATTAGCTGTTTGATTATAGTATAGAAAATGGCCATGGCAGGCATGGTGACACATGCCTGTCATTCCAGCACTTGGAAGACTGAGGCAGAAGGATCCCTGTGAGTTTGAGGCCAGTAGGGCCACATAGTGAGTTCAAGGCAACCTGAGCTACATAGCAAAACCCTGTCTCAGAAAAAAGACAATGAAAATTAGCAACACAAGGGATGTTTTGTGTGTATGATACTTTGAGTTCGAGCACTTTTGAATTTAATTGTATATTTTAATGGGGGGGACAAGTTGTACATTTAACTATTTGATAGAAAATATGAGATGAAATAAAATGAGCATTACAACATTTATATTCTGGTTTGTGACTGCACAGGTAGATCGTTGGCCAGAGACAGGATATGTGAAGAAACTTCAGAGAAGGGACAATACCTTTTATTACTACAACAAACAGAGGGAGTGTGACGACAAGGAAGTCCACAAAGTGAAAATCTATGTTTACTAGGCTTTTCTTTATATTACTGGCTGTTATATTTGAGGAATTCGTTCTTTCCATCTGTATCATGTAATGTTTGTCACTTCACAAAATGATTCAGAACTCAACCTTCAATGTAATTTTTTGAAATCAGAAACCATGAAAGCTGGTGTCTACTAATCCTCTTGTCATCCTGTCCTGTTGTAAGATATAGCTGCAGAAGTATTAAAAGTTGGACCGTCTTAGTCCTGTTTTCCACTTCAATTTTTTCCAGTGCTGGGGATTGAACCATGGGCTTCATACATGATCGGCAAGCCCTCCACCACAGTTCTACCCTTATCTCTTTTTATTTTTATCTTGAGACATAGTCTCACTAAGTTTCCCAAGCTGGCCTCAGGCTTGTACTCCTGCTGCCCCCACCTTCTGAGTAGCTGGGACTAGAGGTGTGTACTGCCTCACGTGGCTCTTTCTGGCCATTTTTTTTTTTTTTTTTGAGACAGGGTCTCACTGTGTAATTGAGACAGACCTGAAACTCACTATGTAGCCCAGGCTGGTCTCGAACTCGTAGCAATCCTCCTGCCTCAGCCTCCCAAGTGCTGGGATTACAGGTGTGTGCCACCATGCCTGGCTACTTTCTGGCCATTTTAATTGTGATAGAGTAACCACTGTATGGGGGAAACAATTCCAGTGGCCAGGATAGTGGCATATTTTTCAGTAGTAGATTAGCACCCCACACAATCCCTGTCCTTGCCTTTACCTCTTTACTAGAGCATTGCTTTTTTTTTTTCTTTTTTGGAGTGGGGATCAAACTCAGGACCTTGTGCTTTTGAGGCAGGCGGCAGTACCACTGAGCTACATCCCTGGCCCTAGAACATCACTTTTAACTGCTAGATCTGCATTTTGTGATACGAGGGCTTTATTTTGCTTCTGGAATCTTTTGTCTCTGGCTGTGCAGACTGTTAATTCAAGAATAATGGCCACAGAGGGGCAGCTCTATCATGGCTGATGAGAGTGAAGGCCCACAACACCCAGCCCAGGAGTGGGTCTGAGGCATGCGTTTCACACTGGCTCCAAGTGGGTCCCCAGTAGACTGAGACTTCAGCCACTCCAGTAAGATTTTTACTGGGTTTGGGGATGCTGGAGTCTCCTCCTGGATGTGGTTTCTAGGTTCTTTCTGTCCTGAGCAAAGAATTGGTCAAGACAAGCACAAATGGTAGAAAATTTCTATTAAAGGTAGGGAGTATCATGGCTTGTATCTCAGTATCCTCACAAAGCCTCATGAGGTCATAGGTGGGTCTTTATGGATCTAGGGTGTGAGATGCTGGGATCAAGGATGTGAGGCTGGGATTGATTCAAGGTGTGATGCTAGGATTAAAGATGTGCTAACCACCCTAAGGGTAGGAAGCCTGGATGAAATATAAAAGAAAACATTGGTAGTTTCCTGCTTGTAGCCTGCTGCTGTGCTAACTTCTGCTTTCTGTCTGCCATGAACTGTTTCTCTTCTGATGCCACCCTGGCTTGGAGCCAGCCATCTATGAACTGAAACCTTTGAGCCAAATAAACCTTTCATCCTTTAACTTTGGGCATTGGATATTTTGTCTCAGCAATAAAAAAAAAAGTAACTAAGACAAAAAGAAACAGGCTCTGCAGAGCAAGTTTGGGACAAGTAGGAAAAGAAGTATACCCCACAGCATGAGAGTGGGCTACATGCAAGAGAAAAGACAATGGGAAAAGGTCAACTGTCATTTTTGTATTACCCACTCCTTGGGTGATGTCAGCTCTAGGCCATCCTATTGAAAACCTGCCGGAGTTCTTGAAAGAAGTTCACATGCGGAGTTTTGGGAACATTCTGAACATCTGTCATGGGATTTTGTAATTAACAAGTCACACCTACTTCCCCAGTCAGCTTTGCCATGCCCTGATCTCCTGTCTTATTTCCCCCTGAGAGACACAAGTCCCCATAATTCCTTACAGGGTATTGAGGGAGTGGAGATCACTGTCTTCTATCGGTTCTGATTTGTCTTATACCTTGTTATATAACTATAAATCCTATATACCTAGTGTTAAAGGTAACAAGTATTAGGTATTACAGTTGTCATTTCCAGTTCGTGTTTGATACTATAGTTCTTACTGACTGTGCTAAGTTAGCACAGGTTGGGGGGGAGGAAAGGAAGGAAGGGGATAAAGGCCTAGAAGGGAAAAAAATAGAAAGAAAACTTTTGTAAATAAGGAGAGAAAGAAGAGTTGAAGGGAGGGAAGGGGTTTGGGGCAAAAGAAGAATCAAGATGTATTATGCATAGGTACAAATTCCCTATGATGAATGTGATCCGTGTGTGTGTGTGTGTGTGTGTGTATACATGGCACCAATAAAATTAACTTTGAAAAAAAACAACCAAACAAAAAGTTATCCAAGGTGACATTGCTTTTGTGGTCAATTGATCCTCCTTGTATGCCAATACCTAAATTAGCTAGGGGCCATAAATAATATCATAGCCCAGTATCAAATAACTGGATGGCAGGCCAAACAGAGTGCAACCTTTCATTCCTAATAAATAGAAGAGGCAGGATCCTGAGATTAATTCAAAGACCAAAAGCCAACTATGCCCAGAAGACAGCTCTGAAAAGTGGTTATTACCTGAAAAGGTCTTGGTACTAGTAATAAAACTACATACCACAACCGGCTTATAAGCCTCAATGCAGAAAACAAACAAAAGATACAAAATGAGAAAACACAGAATCAAGATGCAGTCCAACACACCCAATTTGCCCAAACCAAGCCCAGAGAGCATCAAGGTGAAAGAAATCAAAAACTTTCCAGCTGAATTTTATGAAATGGTAGTGGCAGAAGTAAGTCCCTAGACATAAGCAAAACAAAAATAATCACACAAGTAACTAAAGAGACAATGACCACAATGAAGGAAATGCTTAGTAAATTTGGAGCAGACACAGGTAACAAAATAGAAGGGCTAAGAGAATCATGATTGTCCAACATAGGAAAGAACTGGACTCCTTAGATGCAAACAGATACACAGGAGATTAAAAATTCTATAGAAAACATACATAGCAGAATCAACCAATGTGAAGATAGAATATCAGATCTAGAAGACAGAGTTGTTGTTGGTGATGATCAAATGAAAGACTGCTTAAAAATAGTGACTATAAAAAAAATCAAAAACCCATTGTCACAAATAGGTCAGCTAGACAAAAATCAACCACAAAATACTAGAACTGAACCAAACTGTTGAACAAATGCACTTAATAGATTTCTACAGAGTGTTCCACCCCACAAAATCAGAATACACATTCTTCTCAGCTTCACATGGGTCATTTTCCAAAATAGATCACATGCTAGCTCATGCTAGCCTACAGAAAATTGGAATAAATGGTCTTTATTTGAACCTGATGAAAGCTATCTATGAAAATCCAACAGCCAACATCATACTGAATGGTCAAAAACTGAAATCTTTCATGCTAAAATCAGGAACAAGACAAGGATGTCAACTATAACCACTTAAGATCAATATAGTTCTGGAAACATTAGCCACAACAATTAGACAAGAGAAAGAAGTAAAAGGGATAAAGATAGGAAATGAAGTTAAATTGTCATTATTTGCAGATGACATGATACTCTATATAGAAGACCCCAATAACTCCACCAAAAGACTTCTAGACTTAATAACCAAATTCAGTAGAGTAGCTGGATACAAGGCCAATGTTCAAAAGTCAATAGCCTTCCTGTACACAAATAACAGACTCACTGAAAGATGAACCAGGGAAACAACTCCTTCCACAACAGCATCCCAAAAATGAAATACCTAGATATCAATCTAATGGAGGAAGTAAAAGACTTCTACCATGAAAACTACAGCACCATGAAAAAAAGACATCAAAGAGGATATCAGAAAATGGAAAGGCATTCTGTGTTCTTAGGTACAAAGAACCAATGCAGTGAAAAGGGCCATACTTCCAAAACTGCTATACAGATTCAATGCAATCCTGATTGAAATTCCAACAGCATATTTCACAGAACTAGAGAAAACCATCCAAAAATTCATTTGGACCCAGAACAGACCTAGAATAGCAGAAGCAGTCCTACGCAACAGAGACAAAGCAAGGGGGAGTATCACAACCCCCAACTTGAAACTATACTATAAAGCTACTGTGATAAAACAGCATGGTACTGGGAAAGAACACACCTGAGGATCAAAGGAACAGATTAGAAGCTGCAGAAACAACTCCAGACACAGTGAGCCACCTAATCTTTGACAAAGAAACCAAACACCTTCATTAGAGGAAAGATAGCCTCTTTATTAAATGTTGCTGGAGAAACTGGGTTTCAACTTGCCAAAGATTAAAACTAGATCCATATCTTTCACCATGCATTAAACCAAAATTGAAATGGATCAAAGATCTAAATATTAAACCTGTTGGAAGACAGGTTAGGTAGAACTCAACCACATTCACATGGGAAAAAATTTTATAAACAAAACCTCAGTCACATAAGAACTAGCACAAAGAATCAACAATTGGGTTCTCATCTTACTAAAAAGCTTCTTCACAGCAAGAGAAACCACCAACAGAGTGAAGAGACAGGCCACAATGTGGTAAAAAATTTTACCATCTGTTCCTCAGACAAAGGACTACTATCATACACAAAGAACTTTAAAAAAATCAGACACCCCAAATTTAAAGACTCAATCCAAATATGGGAACCTGAAATAAATAGACATTTCTCAGATGAAGAAGCAGAAGCAGCAAATAAACATATGTAAAAATGTTCAACATCACTGGTCATTCAAGAGATGCAAATGAAAACAATGGTGAGATTCCACCTCACTCCAGAAAGAATGGCTGCTATCAAGAAATAAACCAATAACAAATGCTGGCAGGGCTGTGGGGAAAAAGGAACTGTTCTCCACTGTTGGTGGGAGTGTAGACTGCTGCAACCACTGTGGAAATCAGTATGTAGATTTCTCAAAACACTAGGACTAGAGGCCTCATTTGACCCAGCTATTCACCTTCTGGGTATGTTCCTGAAAGAATTAAAAGCATCATGCCACAGTGATATACGTACACTCATGTTTATAGTGGCACCATTTGTAATAGCTAAATCTTGGAAATGGCCCAAATGCCATCAACTGGTGATTTGATAAAGAAGATGTG